AATAGGGTTACCTGATTATTACCAGATTGATTTCATATTTTTACTGATTTAAACTATTTAATTACTATTTATTAAATTTATATATTATTTAATAAACTTACAAAATGCATTTCAGTACGTCGGGCAAAACCAACTAGATAAGAAAAGTTTATATGTCATTATATCATATAATTTAAATTCGTTTTTTAATAAAATATAATTACATTTCATTGCTTCAATAATTCTGATCATATAATAAAAAATTACGACAAAGTTGATAATAAAATAATAAACAATAAATAAACAAACAATCAATGACCTTTAAGATTAAGTCCATTAAATCCATTTTGTGACATTTTAATAAAAAACACGTTAGGGTTGTGTTGTGACTAAAATTATGGCTTATCTTATATTGAAATTTTACGGAGATTTTTTTGTTAGTGCGCAGTAGGTGGTTTTATAGAGTCGATTGTTCTGATTGGTGCATCTGCGACGATCTTTCATCTAATCTAAAAATAGGTGTCATAGATCATGCTCCGCTAAGCTCCGGACAATAAATAGTCGGGTTCAACACATAGTATTGTGCTTTAATTAAATCATATAGTTCTACGCCGATCACAATTTGACATGTGCTATTTTCCAACTTTACCAATTGAAAACTTTTTAATGTATTTAGCTATTAGATTTATCATGATATGATGGTTTAATAGTAAATTCAATAATAATAACAGGTACTTAAATTGTATAAGGTGAGCACGCTTTGCTGTATTGTAATGGTATGTTATGCATTAGTTTTAGCGTAGTTCTAGTGTTATTCTCTCAATTCTTTATTAATTCCAAATCATAATAATTGTTTTGATCAAAAAGCAACCTCCTTTTTTTGTAAAGAGTTACTTGATTTGCTGAAATCAAAATTAACATTTAATACAATAAATTTTCGGCAAAATTTTTATAAAGCTCACTTTAATTAATTTCTATCGAAGGAGATACTATCTCTATCGAGGGAGCTGCTATTGCTATCTGTGGAGCTGCTATTTCTATCTGTGGAGCTGCTATTTCTATCTCTGGAGCTGCTATTTCTATCTGTGGAGCTGCTATTTCTATCTGTGGAGCTGCTATTTCTATCTGTGGAGCTGCTATTTCTATCTGTGGAGCTGCTATTTCTATCTGTGCAGCTGCTATTTCTATCTGTCGAACTGCTTGAGAATAGCCTGGAGTCGAAAAAACTTGGTACAGAGATTACTCATTTATTCATAAAGTTGTTCTGATTCTTAAGATTTAAATTTTTTATTTCAATCTATGAAATTATTAGAAGGAGCATTTCAATTAATTACACTGAACGAGTAATATAGTAAATTACATTAAGATAAATGATTGAAAACACTCCAATTCATCATAGTGAAAACGTCCAGAATAGAGATTTTACCCGGGTAGACATTTTTATTATATAGTATAATAAATTACGCGGATAACGGTTAATTTAATAACAACCGGGTAGAAATTTTCGTGACGGGTACAATCTCTAGCCCTGAAATACTGATCTTACAATTTGATTAGATTTTTTAATTTTTCGAGTTGATATTTTATTAAAATGGTACCTTTCACATTGAGGTTGTATGCTTTCTGTAAGTTTTTTTTTTGGATATAAAAATATTAATATTGATTCGGAAAACTTGGATTCTAATTTGACAAAAATTAATAAACGCTGTTACAGTCACGGGAGAGACTTTAGATCTTCGTAGCCAATTTAGCAGAGGACTGTAATCATTAATAAGAAAAGAACCAACTAATTTATTATCGCAAAAGGCACCAAAAGAGTTACAAACAAATATCCCAACGTTGTGTCCCAGACACACTAATGATACTAATACACTAATTTCCCTAGCTACTTAACAAGTTCCAAACTTCTAAGAGCAAACCACAAAATAACCCGAAAGATAAAAATCCACTAAAACTAAAAGACTTCTAAAAACTAACCCTACATACTAACGTTCTATATGTCTATACTTATACATATAATTAAACTACAAATTGACTATTTACTATTTACAAGTATGT